CATAGGTGAAAATCGACAATTAATTTTTGTAACGATATAGAAATAGTTAAAATTTTTGTTAACTTTATTATATATTTAAATCGACAAATTTAATAAGGGACTAAATATTTTTATAAAATACAAAGATTGATAAAAATCAACAATTAATTTTGATAAATTTTTTTTACGGTATGAACTAAATTGTTATGCAAGTATTTTAGAGACTAAATTATTAATAATTTGAAAGTGTATGAACTAAATCATTATAAACTAAAATTTAAAAACTAAATTGTCACTTTAGCAAAGATATGGAGACCGAATGTATTTTTTAACTTATGCTAATGAGTTGAGTTGAAAAAGATCAAAGATGAAAATATAAATTATGAACGAAAATAATTAACTGCTCGATATTTTAATTCTAAAAGGATCATTATTGAAAAATTGATAATTTATTATTTAATTTTAAATTTTTTATATTTATCTATCTTATTTGTAAAAAATTTAATGATAATTATGAAAGAGGTGCTCACCCATTAACTCCAAAGTATTTTCCAATTATGAAATGAAAGGCACTGCCACACACTTTCTGTCCCTAGATGGACACACCATCCGTAGATTATATTTTTATTATCATCGTTTAAAATCTTGCCTACAATCTATTTCTTTTTTACATTTCAATTTGTTTTTAATTAAACGTTTTTTGTTGGTAAATTTTCGAATTGGCCCCGATTAACTTGCATGACATGAGAATTTACTTATTATTAAGTAAAATTTCAGAAATCTAACATAAGGAAAGTTTCCCAATTCTTCATCTAAATTTCTTAAAGTTGAGATAAATTTGGACTTTTTCTCTTGTATATAGCCTAATTTCTCGTCCAAATCATGTAATATATAAGTGGGACTAAATAGAGAAAACGTGCGCCGAAACAAACATTTAATGATAAAGCATATATATATATATATATATATATATATATATATATATTTAGGGTTATACATATAACTTTGGATTCAATCAATTTGGTGGATTTTGAGTGTGTTTGGGGAGGCATTATGAATGGATTGGGGGAGGGAATAATGAATGTGGATGTCGGTGAATGTGAAAGAAAAGCCATAATTAGGGTTCTTTTTGTTGAGTTGTCGAGTTTTGCATGCTGCCTACACTACACTACAAACCATTCCCCTCTTCTTCATTTTTTTTTTCTTTTTTCTCTTTCCTTTCCACCTTTCTCTCAGTTCACTGCTCTCTACTGCTCTCTACTTTTATGTTATGGTGTTGAAGGGTATAAATTCACACTTTTGAAATCCATACCATATAAAAGGGTCCATCTTATTTATGGTGTAGACTCATGATCAAGTCTATCCGGTGTTTTGATGAGATTGAGAGGTGGGACCATCTTATTTTAGTGTATGTTTAGTAAATTTGTCAGAATGGTATGATTGTATTAGTAGACTCCTCGTATTGTATTTGCTTATGGGATATAGAGCTAGAGAAGTTGTTTACTTAGATGCGTCGAGCATGAAACTGGATTACTTGAGCCTACCTCAATTTCTCATATTTTGAGAGACTATAATTACATGATCTTTTGCTCGTGCTACTACTTCGCATGTTAGCATTTGTTATAACTCTTGACTGTTGATAGAGTCTGTTTATTTTTTTACGGTTTTTGTTGTGTTATTAGCTTTTTTTCTTGGTGTTTCTGATGTCTTTTTTACCGGTCTTTTTTGTTTCTTTTGTGCTTTGATACGAGGGTGAGATCATTCTTTTTCTTTGGAATATATTAACTTTTTGCCCAAAAAAAAAAGAGTAAATTCAAGTTTTTGTAATTTTTTTTTCTATACATTTTTCTTTAGTTACAACCACGTATAAAAATGAGAATTAAAACTCACGACCTACCAATTAAAACATAGCTTAGCAGATTAAGACATATGTGTCGTAATTAATTGTCGCGTCATCACAATTTAGTAATGCTTATTTGAGCATTACTCAGGAGTATTGGAGTATTTAAGGGCTCGTTTGGTAACGTTCTTGTTTCTGTTTCTTCATTTTTAATAAAGAAAAATATAATTGAAGAATATGACCCAACACCAATGAATTCAAAGACAATCAAACAATATTTTTTTTATTTTTTTTAAGGACAATATTTATATTTATGTATGGTAATAAATTGGAAGCGGAAACAAGAAACTTATTTTGATTGTTAACCAAATTTCTATACAATTTTGAGAATGTTTCCAAAAGAGGAGAAACAAAAAACATAATTAATTTCAAAATTTTTAAGTTTCTTAATAAAATTTAGAAACGATAAACAAAAAATGGGAACGTTGCCAAATGGATCCTAAATAACTCGATAACTTGAAGAACTCAACCCAAACAGTAAAGATTGAGCTACATTTTTTTCCTTGGTTTAGAGTAAGAGCAATAGAGCGGTGTACACAAATTAGCTTTACATTCTTGGTCTTTACTGTCTAATCTATTGCAGTAGTTGCTATCCCTAATCTATCCAACCAATAGGTTTTGTATGGAAAAAAAATCGGTAAAAAGCAGAAAAAGAAAGTATTTACAAATTACACGGGCTACTGTCAGTTCTGAAATTATGAACTAAATAGTGAAAGTGAAACTAATCCCAATTTGAGTAGGAAAAAAAAAACGCTTTGACCATAGGAAAAAAATAATAATAATAAAAAAGGGCGGACGCGTCCTTGATCATTTTGATTGAATTGGTTGGAACAAAATCATGAGGCTATAGCTAGTGAGATGAAATGAATAAACTGTGGGCTCCTTTTTGTTTTTTTGGCTTTGACCATAGTGGTGAATATTGAATAAAAATTGAACGAAGATCAACTCGAAGACAAGCTAAGCGGTTACTTAATGAACTGAGTTCAATATTAATTAGTACTTATTTTTTACTAAGATGTTATGAGTTTGAATCCCTCTATCTCACTTGTTATACTAAAAAACTAAAGTCAGACGGTTGAAAGATTATTATATTGAAGAAAACTTAGGTTAAGAGATGTAAAAAAAGATGGAAAAGAAAGAGTAGACAATCAAGATCAAAGTTTAAAAGAACAATAAAAACTTTTATTATAACTTAAGGATGAGCTAGCATTCCAAGTGTGATAGAAAATGCATGTATAAAAAAAAAACCATATGGAAGTCTTGGTGGGATATACGATTATAGGGTTCAAGTCGTAAATATCTTAGCTATACATGCAAGGAGAAGTCACCCCTCAAAATTTTGGTAGGGGTGATATTATCTTCCATGAGACCAACTTTACTAATTTTTTTTTTCTATTTTTATTTGTACTAAAAAAGAGTTTATGAATAAAGTCGAGGGAAAGTTAAAAGATATGTTCGTAAAGTGACATGGAGAATTTTATAACACCTACGACAACTGGGTTCGATTAATTTAATTATAAGAGAGTGAATGTCAACCGTGATTCTAATATGAATAAAAATTAAAAAGATTTGTGTGGTTGAATTGAGCTTACGTGTGTTAAATTTGATATATAAGAAGAACTTAGTAGCAGTCCTAACTCATAAATATAGTCCAGCAAAATTCATAAAAAGAGCAAAATGTAAAAAATAGAACTAGTTAAAAAAAAAATATATATATATATATATACACACACATACAAATGAGAGTTAGATTATAAGTAATTTCAAGGCCTAGAGTTTACGATTTAAATATTTTACAGTTTGGTACCTTTTTCAATAAACTGGATTTAATGACTTTTTGAGACCCTTTTTCTCTAAAAAAATAAAAATATATAAATAATAACAAGTTTTTACTTTTGCTTTCAAAATTGTTATTAAGAATTATAGTTAACTTCATGATCATCAAAATCACCATTCATAACTAGATGATTTTGAAAAGGAAAGTAGTTTAAAAAACATTGAAGCAACTACCCGTAGAATAGTGGTTATATATATTCCTATCTTCCAACCATTTTTTAGTGTGTTAGAGATGATAATAAATATTTTATTCAATAAACTATGTTCAAATTGACTGGAGACTTGAACTTTTAATTTAAAAAAATGTACAAACCATCTATAAAGTATTGTTACAAATCGTATGTTCTAAACTTTGAACTTTTAATCACACTTTTCAAGGGTGGATTCAGAATTTCTATTCCGGACTCAATACGTAAGATCTTATTAAAAGAAAATATGCACCTCAGATAATTACTGTGCAAAATTCAAATTTAAAAAATATATAAAAGAAAACAATTAAATCTAAAAAATTTGATGATTTATAAAGAGGAAAAAAAAGAGATTATCAACATATAAATTAAAAAGAAAAATAAACTCTACAGTTAGACGGATACAATTTGACCAAAAAGATTGTAAAGAATTCCAAGTTTAAAACAAGAGGTAGCTTCACATTTAAAAGTGTTAGAAGAATAATCATATTTTAGAAATTAGAACGAACATATGTATATATAATTCATTTTATATAAATTGACATTTTTATATAAAGATTTTTTTTTTATGATGCTAGCTGCCCATGGGCTTGCCCCTTGCATCATTGGGCCAACATGACATATTGTTAAAGAAATTTTAGGATATAATATTAAGTTTTTTTTTTTTTTTAGTTAGAAGGTATTCAAGCTTCTTTCTAATCACCGTAAGTCTGCCTAATCTCTACACTATGAAATTATTCGAATTATATTCTCATCTATGAAATTGTTGTAATTGTAAGGATAATTATAGTCAAAACGAATATAATTTAAGTGCAATTGGTACGAAAATAGGTGTAATTGTCCACAAAGTTTCGAAGGGATGATTATTTTGTAAATTTTTAGTTAAAATATAAAACAAAAATCACATTTACGAATATATGTTCTTATTTCTCACTATATTTTCAAGCTCCAGCCTCGAATAAATAAACTAATGGCACTTTCTGAGTGAAAATTTAGCAGGCACTGTAGTTGGAAGAAAAGCTCGTTCAGCTCCAAGAATGGCCTCGGAACGGGCATCGCCGTCTACTTTCTCTCAGCGTCAGTGAATTGTCGTATCGTATCAGTACAGTAACTGGGTGGGTGTCTTCAATTCCTTCGGTCCGTTTCCCTTAACTTCGGCTTCTGCTTCACTTCTCTCTCTGTAGTCCAAGCATCCGACTGCCACAGCCCCCATCTTGATCTTCCTTCAACTCCGGCAAACTTTGCAATTCGGCGGCTACCCTCAATTTCTCCTTCTGCCAGCTTCCTGGTAACCGGTAAGGGCAGCTAATTTCATTCTGGATCTAGATTTTCCCCGAATTGGAATTGTCCTTGCATTTTGTTATGCCTAGGTTTTGCTCCTCGGATCAAACCGCTGTTGCTCTTCTCTCACCCCTTCTCTTGCTCTCCGAATCTTGTTGTTAATTTATTGCCGCAGAAATGGATAAAGCATGTGATGGTTCCAGCAAATGGGCAGAAGATATTTATTGGACCCATTTTCAGTTCACCCACTTCTATCAAATTCTTGCCGGTGGTTGTGAGCAGCAACTTGTAGGTTTTTTTCCTCTGCTCTGCTCCCTCCCCTTTTATCATTTAAAAAAAAAAAACTGGGTTGTGCATTTGATTATGACTAGACACTAGATACTCATGCCGCTGATACGATATGCCTTTCGAGATTTACCCTCACAAACATGCAGCTGCTTTTAGATTCTAGACAATTATTTGTGTGTGTGTAATATATATAATTTGTGTGTATAGGGGGGTTCGGGTGGTGTTGTTGTTTGCTGTTTAGTTGGTTAAGACTTGAGGGTTAATATCCTTAGTTTCCTTATTGTTCAGAAATGGTGTAAGCAATGGAGAGTGGTTATCCGAGGATTAGGTTCAAAAAAGTTTCATGTCTAAATATTTCTGCGATAATCTTTTCTAGACCATTATTAGGGTAATGCTTGCCACTGGTCGTCCAAGGTTAGGTTCAAATAAATTTCATGTTTAAATCTTTCTGTGATACTATTTTCTAGACCATTATTAGATTAATGCTTGCCAATGGCGAGCTTAAATGAACTCTGCAAGTGATTGTGGCTTTTTGATCATTGTTGAAGAACTTGGACCTTATAGTGCCTACAGTTGCCCCTTCATACTGCTAATTTCTGAAGCACTCACCGTCTTCCTAAAATGTTCCGAGCCTATGGGGTTTAAGATGATTGATGATTTACTATCTGGATACAAACACTTACTCTTATAGAGTTTATTTCTTTGCTTTGATCATCCATTTCATTTACCTGAAAATTGCGTCAAAGTTCTTGTTACAAGCTTCTCTAGGAATTCGCTAATTCGGATATATCTAATCTGAGTTGCAGGTAATTCCAAACAAATTTGCAAACAATTTAAAAAAGAAACTTCCGTCAACCGTGACTCTTAAAGGTCCTAGTGGTGCTACATGGGATGTGGGATTGACTTCCAATGATAATAAATTGTATTTCAAACATGGCTGGCAAGACTTTGTGAAGGCTCATTCTTTGGAGCAGAATGATCTTTTGATTTTTAGGTACAATGGAGGGTCCCAGTTTGATGTTTTAGTATTCGATTGGAAGAGCTTTTGTGAGAAGGAAGCATCATATTTTGTAAAAATTTGCGAGCATAAAAAAGGCGATGACGGATACCAGGCTAAGAGGAAGCTTAGAGAACCCTCTTTGGATGACTTTGATGCTGATACTAACAATGGTGCTGAATGTGCTTCCTCTGAAAATATTATACATGATGACAGTATGGAACGTATGATACAGGACGTTGTTTCCAAAGCTACAAATCTGAATGGTCAACCAGAGGTTTGTTCGGCTGAGCCTATACAAACAATGCGGACTAGAAGAAAGAAAGAAACTCCAAATAATGCAACAATTCTGACTCCCCCTCCTATTCAGATCTCAGGTAGTTGGAGAAGAAATTTTTAAGTTTTTAGTCTTTCATATGGTTGCATGATTCTGTGGTTGACCTCAAAAGCAGATAATGAATGATGATGCTTTAAAATTCTTGGTGATTCTTGGGTTGTTATCCCCAACTCTGTTATCAAGATTTTAAGACGATGCTGATATTGTGTTTCCAATCTTGACTGGAAAAGCATTTTCGAAATGTTTGTATAGCCAGGACCCAATCTATTTAACGTTTATGGATTAAAATGTAACTAGGTTTCACTGGCATTTTTGGTTTAATTGGATTAATAGTAATAGACCAAAGTGATATGTATAAAGTTCATATAACTTTTTTCGTGGATAATCAATCTAGTATCTGACCTTGGACTTCGCCAGATTCTGATGTGGCAGCTACTCCTATTAAGAAAATCGGGTCATATGCTGAGCATTACGTATCCAATCGAAGGGCTATAACAGAAGATGACAAGATCAATGCCCTGAAGTTGGCAGAAGCAGCATCAAGTGATGGTAGTTTCAAAGTTGTTATGCGACCTTCACACGTGTACAGGAGATTCTTTCTGGTAAAACACGTCATCTGTTACTGATCTTTTTGTTGCTCCTTAAACTTTCTTTCAGCACTCAATATATCTTTTCCAGGGAACTTTTGGAGTACATTGTGAACTGAATGTGTGAGTTCATTATTATTAGGAAATTTGGCCGATCTTTTTGTTAACTTTTTTTTTTTTGATAATAAACAAAGATTCATTCCAAAAGAAAAAGGAGTCCAAAAAGAGGCATACAACCTAGGGGCAAAGGGTCGAGAAGACCCTCCCTCAAGAAACTAAGAAACTATACAATCAAGGAATTCCAACTCTGAAAAGTCAAAAGAAAACCGTAGTTACAAAAAGCCTTCTTGTGGATAAATTTTGTTTTAGGTTTCATATTCATATGACATTTTCCCCGCTTGTTGGTTGATGATGCAGTTTATCCCCACTCAGTGGGTTACAAAAAATCTCTCCCTACGCAACCAAGATGTAATACTCCGTTTTGGAAATGATGAATGGCCAACCAAATTCAACTTTACCCAGAGTCGTCAATGTGGTGGTCTTACAAGTGGATGGAAACATTTTGCTATTGATAACAATTTAGAAGAGTATGACGTATGTGTCTTCGAGCCTGTCGTTAAAACAAGTGGGCCTGTGGTCCTGGAGGTCAAAATCTTCCGTGTTGTCGAAGATGCTATCCCTCTCACTCGTGTGTCATCATCAAAGAGCAACCGGAAGCTAATCAAAGCCACCTGAAGCATGACTTGGCAAGTTCCTGAAATGTTTAGTACCTAATGTTAAGACCCATGAATTACTGTCTGTATAATATTGTAGCTAATAACTCTGCTTTAACATACACACCAGTTTGTTACTGGGACCTGTTGGTCGCTAATGTTTGTTTGATCCCATGCCCATTCTGCCATCTGTTATATCTATCAGTAGAGTAATCCAACTTTGTGCTTAGGAGTTACCAGCTTCAATCACAGTTCTATAACTTTTGATGTGAAACAATGCCGATAATTTTAGCAGATATTCATTCCAATCACTCGTATGATTGGCTGCATTGAGTCAGAATTGAGAAATTTCTCAGCCTAAACCAGCCATAAGCAGAAATCTGGAATGATTAGAATTTATGCTAATCTCGGAGTCTTACTTCAATAAATGCTTATTGATTATTCTGCACCAGATGAAAGTTGGGTCTTATTTTGACTACATAGAAGCGAAAAAAACAGGGATAGGCAACAACAACTGCAATATTATAAAACAGGGAGGGAATGGGAAGAGATTTATTTGAATCCCTGAGCTTGTGAGTCTGTGTTTGAAGTTTGAAGCTCCAGAGGAAGTTCACGTGGGTTTGCCATTATTCAATTCACAGAGGACAAATTGCAAATCTTGCAGGGTTATGCTATGCTGTGGAAGGGGGATGATGCAGGGGACTCAGATCCCTCATGTGCCTGCCAATTCTTCCCCATCCTGGACGGCTCTTTCCTCACAAAGCGCCAATGGTAAATTATGACTTCCAAGTTTTGTACATATTCTCTGCACTGTAAATAAGGAGGAGGAAGAGTCCTGCTTGGTGGTGATGGCAACTGCCACACACATAATGCCATTATATTATATGACTTTTTTTTGCAAGTCGCAGGTGAAGTTGAAAGGGAGATGGGAATTTGTTTCTTTTTTGTGTTGTTTGACGTTCATGTTCTGAAACTCCTTTTCTTTTTTTCTTCTGAGCCATTGATGAGGAACTTGACGTTTTATTTGCAGGTGTATTGAGGAGTTGTTTCTAGCATTTTGTTTGAAATTCTCGAGGGCTATGAGGGAGGTACCTTTCCAACTTCTTATATTTTTCACCAGACATGGTTTTGTTCTTCTGTGGTCCACCCCACTACTGCTCAAGTAACATATGGAAGCTTAGAGAGAGAAATCCATCTCTCCTTTTTTCCCCTCTTTCTAAACGATTCACCAAGCTAGGTTATACACTCCACAACCTTGATGAATAATAATTATTATTAGGGCTCATATTGTTAATTCAATTTGCTCTTTTTAAATTCTTGTGTTGGGAATTTGAAGGGAGTTGAATCCTACAATTCACTTACAAGAATGTAATTACAAAAATGGCTCTCTCTCTTTTTTTTTTTCTTTTGAATCTACATCAAACGATTAGGTATACAAATTTTGACCTGCATCCAATGGCTATTAAGTTGACAACTATATATACAAATCCAACAATGGCATCAAGTGGTAAAAAAATGCACAAACTCTAGAACGAACATCCAACACAATTAAAGATACTAAACTAGAACCCATAAAACTTAGGCTTGCCTATAATCACAAAAATGTTTCTAACTTGACAAAGAAAGTGATTAATTTACATCCAAAGTATAGGCTGGTTTGATGGATGAAAAATAAAAACTAACAGGATACAGAAAGTCAAATGATAGAATAGAGATGACACAATGTTCAAAGGACGATGGCTCGCCTTTTAGAACTTACCAAAAGATTTATCCTTTTTGCTATATATTTTCTCTCAATTATTTGATCCCCACATCCCTTAGATACAACAATATATATCCCACTGCCGGCCCTCTTTCTCATAAGTAAAAAGGAAAATAATAGATATCTTTGCACGGTACCATTGCCCACATGCGCTTGTACACGCCATAATGATGCACCTTATGACCAAAAACACAGTCAATTTTTTACTATTCACCTTACCACATAATTACCCCTCCATTCAAAATTGTTCTTAAATAACATGTTATTCCCTACGCCATCTTGTTACTTGGTTTATGGCTGGCTCAGAGCCCTTGAAAGCCAAACATGATGAGACCAGCAAAACAAGTTTCTGTGAGCAGAGAAAACTGAAGGATGGCACATGGTGAGGTGGTAGAGCAGGGACAGGGAGAAGGGGTCTTATTAATTCCAAAGGGTGGGTCGGGTCCCCTGTTTCTACAAACAAAAATGTACTCATTATATATCCATTTTCCATGATTTTTAATGCCGTGGGACAGCACCACACACACTACACATTACACACTTATAAAAAACTGTAAATTTTTTTTTTTGAAAAAGTTGAAATAATCTTGATGCAGGTCAGATGACGTTTGGAATTCAAGTACGGCAGCTGAATCTCCTTCCCAATCTTCCATTGTTTGAGAAACTGCGGGACAGCTACCATTTATGGTCAAAGGTATGATTGAATAAATGGACTCAAAAAAAAAAAAGGGAAAGAAAACTCAGTCTTTCAGCTTTCTATCCTGACATGTGACATCCCCTAGTGAGAGTGAGGTGAGCTTAGGGATTCTCCAAACAAACCCACATCAGGTTTCTCGAAAATTATGGAAGTTTGGAGCCCTAAAACCTTAGGGTTGTTGTTGCCTGTTGGGGTTTTTGAGGCCTGCTTTCTTGACCATCTTAATGGCCTGATATTATTAAATTAAAGGACAGTGCCCAATCGTCACCCTTGATTCTTCCAATGGCATCTTTTTTTTTTTTCTGGGGAGGGCCTTGGCCTTCATTATTATATCATTATTCTGTTTTAATTAAACAGGTAAACGATGTGGTGTGTGCGAGTAATTACCAATTCGTGTCTATTTCTGTGTGATGTAATGTCGTGGAGCTCAGCTCAGAAGCCTAAACGGCGTTGATTTCGGTGATTCTTTCCTTTCTCTTTTGTCGTTTTGGTGATCTCCTTAATATAATTAATTATATTGCTCGAACTTAGAGGGAGGAAGAAGATGGGGTTTAGGGCTCGAATCTCCAAGCAACCCAATGCATGTTGAGATATATATATTATATATGTTGCATGGTATGCATAGTTGTATATTCGAACAAAAATTTAATACTACTTTAGTACATTCTACTACTATTGTAATTAGTCGTTTGAAGATATTACTGACAAAATAAGTTGCTCTTTGTTTGATTGTTATAGGATTTGAAACTTTATTACTCCTGAGTTTTCATACTTTCAAATATTCTATTTTACTTTTTAAGCTTTATACCAAAATTATCATAGTTTTTGTTCATATTTTTTTTCCTAATTATTTAATTAAAACTTGAATTTGTTCAGGGTGTTGATCTTGAATTTTGATTGAGGTGAGGTGACAGGTGGAGTCAACCGAGGAGATTTGGTGACTTGAGCTGTTGATGCAGAAGAGCATCAGTCGCTTGAAGTAGCACATGTGTATGTCAGAGCATGGTATCGATGTATAGTGCTCAACCAAATGTACTATAAAACTTAAGTTAGAACTAAGGTGGGAAGAGCAGAGAAGTGGCGAGCTAGAAATTAAGTGCGAGATGTTGCGTATCTTACATAAGAGGGAAATTCGGGGAAACTGGTATAGGTGGTTAGAGTTTGTACTTGTTAGCAAAGGAATCTTTAGCCAACAATTACGGACATCCAAACAGTAGAATCATTCTTATTAGAATGTTAGCAGATATGCCTGAAGAAGAGACCGAGCTGACCTGCTTGTTGCGTGACACGAGCTTTTCCTCCTCGACTCGATGGTTTGAGCTCAATCCCTAGGTCACATTGTCACACGGAAGTGGTCCACGTGCCTCTAATAGTGTAGCACTTGGTAATATTATGTAGCTTTAAACGACCACTTCCTCTTAATAGTGTAGCCCTTAGTAATATTATGTAGCTTTAAACATTTTGTCAATGTACGTCAAGCATATTAAATTTAAATCTTTTTTGCTAGTCTCCCACGAACCACATAAACTCAAGTTGATGAAATTGATCTTTTATATCATAAATTAACATTAACAAATCATAAATCCACTCACCAAACATATGTTACACAATTTCATAGATTCCTGTAACTTAATTCTTTTGTACAACCCAAAGACAAGTTAATTACTACAGATTTTTATTCGGGGCTTCAAAATCCCTAGCTTAACAATCAACCTAAATCAATTAGAGTTGTGAACCAAAAATCTTATAAATAAATCAAATTAGAATATATATACATAAGAGGTCTAGATTTACAAAATTGCTTAATTACTATGTAAAACAAAATGTAGATCTCGTAAGATTGAATTTGTGTAACGCATCCGATTAGCAAATCCATATCATGAGACTAACAAATCTAACCTACGTAATAAATGTATGCTCGACTTTTTAATCTTAAAATTACACGAAAGATTTTAAATAGATATATAAATAAGAACTATGTCTAAAAAGATGTAAAAAGGCTAGCAAGCTAGTTTAAAAATGAAGAATATCAGTGTATATAAGAAAAATATGAAGCGATTCGGACTGAATTAAAAAAAGAAAAGAAAAGAAAAAACAAGAAAGAAGCAAGCACAAGGAACAAGAAAGTTGAAAGTTGAAGAAAAGAGAGAAGAAAAAGGGGTGAATACAAAGAGACAGAGAGGGAGAGGAAATGTGGGATAAGACAAAGGCATGGAATATGGAATATGATCCAAAATTGCCTGTGATTCATACGCCTTTTTTTTTTTACTTTTTTATTTTTTTATTTTTTTGCACTGGATTGCATGTTTCCCAACAATTTTGAATATTCTAGAGAGAGAAATACACAGAGAGAGAATGATGAACCAAGTTTTTTCTTATTATTATCACTAATAACAACAAAATTTAATCCATTAATTAATCACGCCTTGCATTTCCCGGAGAATCTAGAGCGCATCAGGCGCTGACCAAATAAACCTTTTTAAATTAAAAACTCATTAGTATATGTTAATAAGTTTGGGGGAAAAGAGTATGAGTTCAATTAATTGATTGATTTTTTATTTTTTTAATTATTGATTGATATATATTTTCTTTGACTATTTATTGATTGATATTAATGTAGGCTAGCGGGCGACTGCGAGAGCATTATTGAAGTATTAATTATTATGTGGTGGGAATAAAATAGAAAATAGAAGGCTAAATATACCACAGGATCCTTGTTTTTTCCTTTTAAACTCAAATCTCAATCTTTTAAAATTCTCGATTTTACCATTAGTTGTACTGAAAAACTTTTAATTTGTTCCTTCTACCATCAATGTATTACCCATCCATGCATTGAACTTAACTCAATAGTAAATGACAACTATCTCCGACTAAGAGATTATGAGTCGTTGCTGTTTGGATGTTAACCTACTCCATCTATTTTATTGACATGTCTACGTGTCTAAATATGTTAATAAAATGATAATTTAATCACAAGTAAAAAACATTTAATAAATTTTAGCAATTATTTTTTAGGTAAGAACCTGAATTTTAATACATCAAAGATAATGTGGAGAATTTTAAAAGATTAAAAAATAAATAAATAAAAAACCTCAAACATTGAGGATTAATGAAATAGAATAGAGACCATCACGTGATATATGGGAGAAGGAATAATTGGACACGGAGAGGGAATATTGGGAGCTTAAGGATGCGTCTTAAGTTAAGGCAGACAAATGCTACCTGTTCCTTTCAACGTTTATGTTGGACTCCCATTACTCCCCTCTCTCTCCTCTCAATAAACTAGCACTTAAATCTCCGATATCGTAAATTTAAGTTGGTGGGTTAGAATAAAAATTTAATCTTTTATATTTGACATGTGTTGGGATTGGTGGAGTCAAAACAACATCGGAACGAGCTAGGGATGTATTGAGATCGAGCTGAGACGCGTCGAGATCAAAGGGGAGATGAAAAATAGGGAAACGGGACTGCAGGTCACTCAGGCCGAGAAGATAGTGCCACGACACTTTCCTGGTGGGCGCGCGGACGCATCTTTGCGTCCGTAACACCATGGTGCCAGGGACATTGTCGTGGCGTTGTTTCGATGTTTATAAACACTGCTTTACGGGTTCTAGGGTTTACCAATCGAAAGTGGGATTTTTTAGCAGCCGTTTTCAGAGGGTTTTGGCAGCTAATCAGTGGCAGCGGCTCGGGCATTGACAGAGGCTTTGGTGTTAATCAAGATCGTCATTATCAGGATAATTGTATCTTGATTCTTATGAGTTATTTATTCTTGTTCCTAAGTATTAATGTGTAAAATACTTAGAAGCTAAGAGCTTTTGTTGGGGTCTCTAGAGAATATTTTTTGGAAGAGTTTTGTATCTGATCCTTAATAATATTAGTGATTTACCCACATCTTAGTGGAAGGTTAGACGTAGTCCTTAGTGGTGAACCAGTATAATTTGATCTGTCATTTTCTTGTTCGTTACAGTTTATCTTCCTATTTGTATCGTGGTTGTGTGTGAATATTTTTTATTGAAGTGAAAATTACAGAGAACCGTTAATTTTCCAACAACATGGTTCTAAAAGTACTGTTTTCGTGATCAAAAGAATTTCACACTCATATTTGAAAGTAATTTATGGGTGTATTATTTTCTCGAGTGTACATTTTATAAAGGGTTCACATTTCACCTATATTTTGAGTGCGTCTCTCTCTTTTAGGCCGGTAAGAAAATAAGTGGTGAATTCATGGATTAGAAAAGTAAATTTAATGATATGTTAAGATAAATTTAAAAGTATATATAAAAATAAGCGTGTCGTCTTTCAAATCTCTAAGTATGTAGAGATTATCTATTAAAAGGTAAAGAAAATTTACACTTTTAATTAGTTCTTAGTTTCACAATCTCATGAAATAGTTCTAAATAATGATGAAGTGTGTTGTTGACCATTGCTTTTATTCTTTAGAAGGATGAGGTCAATAGTCATAGCTGTGTTGATAATTATAACCTTTTTAAAGTTTTTTTTAGGGTAACGTGAAATTAATATATTATCACCTCGTTTTACATTGGCATTAGTGGCAAAATATTTTTTACTAGACTCATTCTTAAAATTTATTACTAAATTACAATCCATCTCTCAGATTTTTATGGTAACGGGAAATTAATTTTCTATGTATTTCTTTGACAATTAAATGCAATAAGATCAACTACTTGTTATGCGAAAGATTAATTGAGGTGTGCACAAACTGACTCGAACACTCATGGATATGAAAGAAAAGTAAATGACTAGTATTGCAACAAGTTTAATTTGTTATAGAGTATGGTCATAATTTTCGGGAGAAAAACCAATAAATAAGTAACGTTTATAAAACTTAAATGTTTTTTGTTGAGGGAGGGCTGGATTCTAGACGAGATGACGAGATCGACTGTTGATTTAAAGTGGACGTTCAGTTAGTTAAGAGATGATGACCCATGTAAATAAAACCTCGCATTGGTGTGGTTTTGGGTCACTTGGGTGCTTTGAATCTAATACGTGTTCACATATGAGTGGTTCATATTGCACTATCTAATTCCACCAATAGCATTCTTCAAAACAGTTTTGAATAAAAAAAAATTAAAGAAAAAAAGAAACAAACACACTACCAAAACCAACCCGAAGTATGTGTATAGTATATTAATTGTTAGAACTTTAAACGAAGCTGATTTTAGGGTCAAAACTTTTTTTCAAAAAAGAAAAACGGAAAATTGAGTTATATGAAATAATCAGAGATGGGAAAGGAGCAGTGTAAGGAGACAGGGTTTGAACAGAGGGATAA